ATTTTCACAAATAGACTTGAACTAATTATTATCCATCAAAGTATGAGACTATAACTAAAATACCATAAATTAAACCATTTCATTCACCAGCATTCTTCATCTAAACCAACAATTCCAAACAAGCAAATTTTAACCTTAAAAGATTACCTACCAAACCTTAAATAAAACCCATTATTTCTAATAAACTAAAAAGAAATAATAAACATTGTTTCAATCATCCACCTTTTAAACTAAGATCGATCAATAATTTCTTAGGCTTTCAAAGTCAGATCCACCTCATGATCTGAGTCAAAGTCCAAGTCCAAATCCAATCCACATGCTCCACCTAAAGTTGTATTGCTTTGATACCAAAATATGAGAAAATGTTAGATAAGGAGTGAGCGCAACTAGCTTAGTAGGAAAACTTTCCTAAACCTAAACAAGGTTAACAAAATGTAATAAAATAGGTTGGTCTCAAGTTACAAAATAAGTATATAAATTTCGAAGTAAAGATTTGATATGTAATAAAGATCTCAAGTTTTGATGTATAAGTAGAAAATCCATAAAATAGTGGAACTAATTCTCACAATAATAGATAATTATAACAAATATATAATTTATGCAAGTTGACTAGCGTGAATCTAAACACCAAATATACCTGGTCCACACACATATGCACACAATCATATAGTCAATCCTCACAAGGATACACCATTTTAAGAAGCGTGTATACTATTGCATCATTATTGATGGAATTTTTTTCATGGATATATACTAGACCCCATTCTCGATTCTCATGAGCGATAGTATGAATTCTTGGAACTTCGTAAGGAACCAAGCAACTCCACTATGGATGACAAGAAACCTTCAAATCCTTCAAAGTAAGAAACTCATGTAAGCAGTGTGCGATATACGTCCGAGTACAACCTATGTTCATCACACCCGCCCATACAACCTATGTTCAATCACCCTATGCACTACTAAAATTCATGTATACCACAACTTATATTTCCACAATTCTCAAAATAGAAGAATACTTCAATTAAAACATACGAGAGATCGCCAAGAAACATTCTCAATTTGATACTATTTAAGAGCTAGGTTATTAACCATCAAAAATGTTATTTTATTATATTTAATATTTAATTATTAGTTTTTTTATATTATTTGTGATTAAATGTATTAGATTCATTGATTCTCTAGTTTGATACTTTTTAAAAATTTTTGATTTATTTTGCATGTAATTTAGTTGATTTAAAGTAATAATAGACAATGTAAGTGAAACAAACAAAAAAAGGTCATAGTTGAGAATTGGATATTTGATAAGGATTGAAGGGTCTAGATTAAAATATGAAGATTTAAAGATACGACATCAATTTAATCCTTATGAGAGTCTAAATTATTAAAAAAACTCATTTAGAGTTGAATTATTAGAGTACTGCAGAAGATAAAATTTTGACATGTCTTCAATATTTTGGTCATAATTTTTTATCCAATGTCCAGTTGACCTAAATTTTACGGCATTGAAAAAGAAGACTTCAAGAGTTATGAAAAGTGTATTTCATGAAAATCAAATGAATCGGCCTTTAACTATGCGAAAATTGAAATTAAAGTTTGGACAAATACGTCCGCACCTCCATGATTTGATGCACGAATTTTGACCTAAAAAGACTCATATTTGGCAAGTACTTATTCCAAAGCCAACCCTAGCCACCCTAGTATATATATATAGGTTCTTTCTTTTTTTAGAGGAGAAAATTTTAGATCTCATCTTTTACATCTTTCTTTATTTTTTTTGTCTATCAGTTATTAAATCCTCAACTAAAGGTAGGGGTAAATCTTTTAATGAAGTATGAGATTTATATTTGATCTATTAATCTTTAATGCATTTTTTTCTTATTAATTGATTATAATATTTTAGTAAAGTTTTTGTTTTGTAAAATCTCTTGATTTGTTGTGCCACGTACATCAAATGCTTGAGATTCCCTACGAGTCAAATAATCGATTTTGGATGGTTAGATCAATTAATTAGAATATATATGAAAAATAATTGATTTCTTTTTTATGATATAAAAAATTTCCTTTATTGGAGATCTTGATTCATCGTCGACTTCGAACATAGTGAATGTTTGTGATCTACAATTAAATACTAATTTCTATCCAAAAGAATTTATCTATTATATTCTGGATTTATTTTTAATATTATCACCACTAAATCTTCTGATTAAGATCACTCCTCATCTGATTCTTAATTGAGCTTAAAAATTGAATTAGGAATAAATATTGTGCAGAGTAGCAAGGGAATCCTTGTTGCTTTAGTATCCAATTATTGTTTTAAACCAAAATTTCATTGTTTTTTTCAAAACCAATTCAATCAAAGCATTTGAAACAATTTATCTTTTTTTATTGTTCATGTGCTCCATGTTTACACCAATTCTCTTTGGTTCGACTTCGGACACCTAACTATTCATTACTTCCCACAATATACACTTAGGTGGTCAATTCTAAAGCTGTATCACAAGGTTTTTGGATAGAAATTATACAATTTGAATGTAAATTATGTAAATTTTCAAGGAACAAATCATGTAATTGCCAAGAATGTGAAATCATTATAGATATATCATATATATTAGAATCGGAATCAAAAAGTTATATTACTTAACCCTAATCCTCAATAATAAGAATGAGAAATAACTCCTATCTTAATCCATAAATAGTAGATCCTAACGTATATTGATGCAATTACCACATGTTAATCCTTCAAGATCTAGCCATTTTCTCCCCTATTCCTTATGTCAAAACTCTCCTATGTTTTTTAGGGTTGAAAAATAGGTAAAATGACCTCAAAACAAGTCCTTATGTGTTTATAGAGTCAAGAAATGGAGAAAACCCTAATAGTTGATTGAGTCTGCTTTACTAAGGCATTTGGATGGTTAGGGAAGACATCTGAACGGTGCTTATTATTTCTCTTTTATTCCAATCAAAGCACAATTTTATTTTTTTGATCGCGTCTAGACGTCTGCAAAACTATCTGGACACTGGTGACTTTCTGTTCTAGACTTTTAGCTTGATTTTGAATTAGTTAGAGGCCTATTCATAAAAAAAAAAAGAAATATGAAAAACACTTTCTAGTTCAGTCAACTTTCAAATGCTGTAAGAATAAGATTAATTAGATATTAGGGAAAAAAGTTATGACAAAAATATTAAAGTAATGTCAAATTTCTTCCTATTCAAACCCCGAAACACCTCCAAACTTTTAAATATTGCTCATATCATTTATCCTAAAGTTTCTCGGCCACCCGAATTTAATGATAATATTTTTTTAATTAAAAAATATTTAAAAACTTATCTAATTTCTCTCATCGTTTTAAATTTAACTTATTTAGGGATAAATTTGCTAGAATGGTTGAACTTCGTAGTTATTGACACCTATCGAGTTTTCGTGTCATTTTTCATAGAACATGGGTACTAGTACGTCTTTTTGACAAAATTAAGTGGCGGCTTGAATTTTATCCAAACATTAAAAATTGTACGGAAGTCAATTTTCCTATTTCTCTCGGTGATTTATTACCTGCAAGGCTGCAACGCGCTTTCTATCTCATTTCCTCTCTCACTTTCTCTCACACACACACAACCTCACTCACTCTTTGCAATACACAAACCCGACCTATCTTTTATCTTTCTCTCTTAGCATTTGTAGGGTTCCTAATCTTGGTATCAAAGATCAGACAAGAAAGCTAATCTTTTGAAACTCTGGTTGATTGATTGGCTGTCGTACGGGGGGCTTGAATTTCAAAGCATCTCTTGTAAATTTCACGTAAAGCAAAGCCATGGACGCCGATTCGTGGAGCGCTCGTCTCTCTTCTGCTTCAAAGCGATATCAATCGGCTCTTCAATCTCGATCTAGTAAGCCCGGAAGTTCTTTCATCTAGGGTTTGTTGTTTGCAATTTTATTTTTATGTCTTTGTACATGTGAATATTAGGTTATGAGTGGGAATCGGATGGTTTTGATGCAGATATGTTAATGGCGTTTGAAGAACTTGATGCAGATGACGATAAGGGAAGAGTTTCCATGCCCATTCTGTTCCGAGTACTTTGATATCGTTGGATTATGTTGTCATATCGATGACGAGCATCCCATAGAGGCGAAGAATGGGGTATTAATTATTACATTTCCAATAATATGATTTTTTCTTTTTTCACATCTAATGGTAAAGTGGTCTAATTTCAGATCATTCACATGAATATTAGAATCTTTCTCTGTGTTTTGGATCTTCTTTGAATGCATCAGAAGAACAAGTTTTGTGGTTTGTTTGTTGGTTAGGGGAAACTTTTGTGGTTGGTGCTTAGCTAGTTTCATCAATAGTTTTTCATTCCCCAAGTTTAACATATGTATTAGTTTGCCCTGTTGCTGATTGTTGGGAGGGATAAGGAAATATTTTTAATTTTTTTGTTTCTATTAAGAGATGAGGCTATGTCCAAAAGCTTGTGATGTCAATGATGGATTTTGAATGTATGTTTACATTGGTTTGAATTGAAATGCGTATGTTTAGAAGCTGATACAGGGTTATAGGATGCTTCTGGATTCTCTTCACCAGTTGAATCTTGATTTTGGTTTGCTAAAGAGTAAGGATCAAAATATCATTTCGAAATGGTCGAAATATACGAAACGTTTCCGTTTTCAAGGAGATCGAAACAAATTAGTGATGGAATCGAAATTCTAAAACTTCAAGGAGTTTCATAATGTTTTGAAATGTTTTGTTATATTTCAATGCATTTGCACAATTATTTCAAAATATTTTAACGATATTTTGGTAGATTTCGACCAATATTTTGAAAAAAAATTCTTAAATTTTTTATTTTTTTTCATTCTGTTTTCAAAACGTTTCCGAAACATGTCGAATCGTTTCTATTTCCTAAGTGACCAAAACAATGCGCCGAAATGAAATTTTGATCCTTGCTAAAGAGTGACTTAATTGTAGTAAGGTTTATTTGACAAAATGAGGCCATTCGTTGCAGGAATGTCCAGTTTGCGCAGTGAGGGTGGGGGTCGACATGGTTGCCCATATAACACTGCATCATGGAAATATTTTCAAGATATCCTTTCTACGGTGGCAAAGTGTCATAATTTTGGGGATTTTGAATGCTTTCATGTGCTTTTCTTAAGGTGTTGTTTGGAAATGTTTATGGTTTTTTAAAAAATTGAAAACAGAAACGGTTTTTTTTTTTGGGTAAAAAAACAAAATCATAAATCTTGTTTGGTTGCATTTCTTGTTGTGGAAAAAATATAAAAACAGAAAGAGAAAACTTGTTTGGTAAACAGTCCACTTCCTTGCAAGGTTTACTGTCCAGTAATTTTCGTATTTCGCACAATGATCATTTTTTGCCATCTGTAAAGTGTAATTTGACCCGTTTGAAAATTTTTCGACTGCCATTGAATTCCTTAACAAGAGGCTACATGCAGCGGAAGAGGAAATCCCGAAAAGGTGGGTCCAATTCAACACTATCGTTGTTGAGGAGGGAACTGCGAGAAGGAAATCTGCAGTCCCTTTTTGGAGGGTCTTCCTATGTAGTTCCTTCAACCAATGTGGCAGCTGACCCATTATTGTCATCATTTATTTTGCCTATGTCTGATGATTTTGTGAGTGCCCAATCTCAGTCTTCAGCTGATGCAATCTCTGTGAAGAAAAGCATGAATGAGTCTATTTCAGAAAGGTATGGGATGGCTTTCTTAACTATTTACCCCCCTAATAGTTGGATATGTTTCATTTGTTCAGTTTAGTTATTTTGCTACAAATTTCTGCAAAACCTGATCCAAGGAACTTAAATAAAAATAATGTTTATGAGAAAGGAAAAAAGAAAAAGTTTTAATTGTGTGTAAATTCACTTAATATGTTCCAAAGGAAAAAAAATTTAGGTAAGGTGTTTAGCTTTCTTAATTTGTGTTAAATAGTATTCTGCAAGTTGGCTTCGTCAAAAGTAAATACAGCATGGGTAATTTATCAAGATTTAGCTGATACTTCTAGGCACTGACTGTATAGGCAGATACTGCAGAAAGAAGCAACTTCACAGACCCACCTTAACAACCATAAATGCTCATAATGATGCCGCCTGTTGTACCTTGTGAGTCTGACATATTTACATGCTGTTATATGTTAATTTGAAACTACGAACTCTTTTTATTGAATTCACACTTTTAAGAGCTAAAACTGACGAATTTAAGCTCAAGATTGCTCGAATACAAGAATTGCATTTCTCGGTTAGAGGTGGGACATGATATTAGGCTAAATCTTTCATTTAGAAGGAAATTTTTTCTATTTGTACATAATTGGATCATCGATGTGTGTTTTTTCAATCAATTTTACTTGCACTTCTAGGCAGGAAAATAAAGATAATGTTCTTGAGTTATCTCACCTTTGACTGCATTCCTAGTTATATCAATAGTTAAAGTAAAGTTAATTCCTACTTTGTAGACTTAATTATAGTTAAAACCCGTAGTGAAGCTGATTGCAGCCGTTGAATGTTCATTACTAAAAGATTAATTTTGAAAAATGGAAAAATAAGGTGGAAAAATGTGTTCTCGTCAGCATTTAGGGGTTGGATCAGTGTTATTTAAGGCGTAAAGTGAACCGAAGCGACTAAGGCTCCTGAGGTCTAGCCGAGAAGCGAGAGGCGAAGCAAAACGCTTCATCAAAGCGAAATGAACAGTAAAGAAAATAAGTAAATATTTTAGTTTAATTACTTCTATATATCCAAGTTCTAATATCTTAAATTCTAATATTTAAAAACGTAAGACACGCGATTCAAGCAACATAAAATTAGAAGCAGAATCAGAATAAGCAGTGCAAAATCAACATTAGAACTGTAGAAGGAGCAGAACTGTAGAAGCAGTAGAACCATAAGCAAAGAACATACTAGCTGCCGAAGAAGAAGGCGGAAAATGGCATAGAAGCAGAAGGAAATCACATACCTTAGTATTCGAAGAAAAAACAGAAGTAGTAGTAGCACTGTAGAAGCAGCTAGAACTAGGCTGTATTTTCTATAGAAGAAGCGAAATAGAGAAGAATTAAAAAAAAAATAGAAGATGAAAAGAAGAAGAAAAAAAGGAGAGAAAAGAAAAATATTTGGGATTCTGCTGAAGAAGAAGACAGAAGCAATAACAAAATAACTTTTTGTCACAGAAGAAGAAGAAGAATCAAGAAGAGAAAATGAGAAGAAGCAAAGAAACAGAAAAGAGAAGAAGAAGAGAGGCCAGGGGGCAAACCTGTCGGAACTTCTTCAGGAAGGAGCAGTAACAACAACGACCAAGCAACTAGTAGTTTCTATCGCAAATTTAGGGTTTGGGTTTGTATATATTGGGATAAGGGGGCAATTGGATGTATGGGTATCTCATAATTTTGTTCCAATTGCCACAATCCAACGGTCCATAACAAAAATAAAATAATCCAACGATTTATAATAAAAAAATAAAACAACTTAAAAAACTTAACAGAGGCGTCGGTTTTCTCGCTTTTTCCTCGCCTCAGCTATATTCACTTCGCCTGGGGTGCTCAAGGCGAGAGACCTTGGCCTCGCCTCGCTAGGTGACGCCTAGACGAGCTTTTCACAACACTGGGTTGGATATAGAAAGATGCTTCCAACCTCTACCAACTCTCCGGTAAAATATTGGTCATTCTATATATATCTATAAATATATTGTCACTACGATTTTTTCGTTTTCACAAACCATCTAGGCTTCTATGAGTAATTTATGAAGAAGAAAGACTCAATACTCGTGTTAGAATGGTACCATTTGTGTTTCAGTTTTAGCACTTGTGCCTCCATTCCCATGACTAATGTGTTAATTCAAGGGCCATTTATTATTTGATTTGTTTTCCATTACAGTTATTAAATTAATATAAAATGGTTTCAATAATCTATTTTCATTTTGAAGCATCCAATCCTTGTGATACTCTTACACTGCGACCAGGACTAGCACTGAACTTAAAATTATGATTTGCACTCTTATGACCGCTTCATGTAAATGTGTTAAAAATGTAGTTATGAATCAAAATGGTTGATAACTGAATAACATAATTTATGGTACTGGAACTCTCTTGATAAAGTCGGCTAAAGTTGGAATTTGGTGGGTTTGGATGGGTCAAATTCAGGTTGGCTGTAAACTGACCAACCTTGAGCTCCATTTGTTCCTGATGTAATACAAGATCTCATGCAATACCAACCAAATTGTAGGTAACCAAAAAATGCTAGGGAGCATTTTTTTCTCCTCGATATTTAGTCTAGTTTTTCCTGAAAAATTCTTTTCAGAAATAACCATGTAGAATGAGCTGAAAATTATGAGATAGAAGTTATTGGGGAAACATGGACGGAAATGCAGATAGGATAGAAAATGAAGAGATTAGTCACTAGTAGATACATCATATGCAGATGCTCTGAGGTGAAAGTCTTACTTTTTTAACTTATTTTGTGGGAAGCCAATGAGTATTTATGTTCTTAAGGTTCAAATTACAACTTATGATGGATACATCCATCTCATTATGATAAATATCTTAGTGAGGTAGGTATGTCCAGAGTCTACGGAGCACTGTTACTGATACTGACATCGGACACATACATGCTGATGCAGGGAATCATATAAAAGTAGGACACTAACATGACAAGGTTGCGCTGCAATACGAGAATTAGTGTTTTTAGCTATACGTATTAAAGTTTACAAGTTATACGCAATTGCATAGGCAAAACTAACTATCGTCATATGATAATTAAAACTTATTTTTGACACTGCAACATAGATTTTTTGTCTACTTAATCTTACTATTTAGTAATTGCTTGTTTTTTATAGATAAATAATGCAAGCAAAAGGTCAAAGAGACTGAGACAAGTGTTTGAAATAATGATTTTATGTTTTTGTTATAGTTCTTATGAATATGGTCATAACAGCGATGGAACACGTACATGGCTCCTCCATGTAGGTGTGCATATGTTTTTAAATCCATTATAAATTGCATTACTGAAGTTGGAGAATTTTGGCAAACAATAAGAAACTATTCTCTACGGCTAGACGTATTGCAGTTAGAGGGCACATTTGGCATGAAGTTTATAATAAAAACGCAATTCTTGAAGTTGCATTTGCTGTCGTGCCCTAAAATTTAAGTGATTCGTTGAAATTTTTCTTTTTTTTTTGGGGGGGAGGGGGGAGGGAGATCGAATTAAACTTTAGTAATGCTATAATATTATTAGCTAATCAGTCTCTCTTCATGTTGCTTTTCCTTCGTTTTCCTCCTTCGTTTTGTTGTTCATCCCCACTCTTTTTGAATAATAAATTTGACCTTAATTCATTTTAAAAAATTCATAATAAAACTAGTAACAAACCACATTAAAAGATATTATAACTTCAAATCACAAGTGGAATAAGGTTGAATCATTTGTATTATGAGTCACTTTTAGTTATCAATGTTATCTGGATTGTGGTTCGCTTTGGTATTTGGTATGGGTACGGGTACAGGTATAATGTACGATACTTTCTTAGGTATGTGGTACGATAGGGGTAGGTTTAGTTGGTACGGTATTTTGGGTTATAATTTATTTTGGAACTCTTATATAGATCGTTTTCACTGCCATACAACATTATATATTACAGAACATTTATAAACACTAGGTTAGTTACCATTTATCTTATAGTTGTGTTTTATTTTTTATTATCTAAAACAATATATAATTATAAATCTATATACATGTAGTCAATTAATATGTTTTTTATATTTGTGTGACATGTTCTAAAGCGAATTGATTTAGTTTTAGTATTACAATTTGGGATCGTCCATTTTAGTGATATGGATCGCGAACTCACCTCGTTAGGGATTAATGTACCCAGATCGTGGGTTGTTAAAGGTTTAGTGAATTGTGGTAACCATGGTCAGGGTTTTCTCTTGTAAAATGAAAAATTTTAATGGCTTGAAGTGGACACTTGTGCAACACCGTCTCCTGGAATGCCCATCCTCTTTTTTTTTTTGGATAATTTTATACATCAAGCACTTATCTTGTTTTCATTCTCTCTGTGCACAATGCACCATAGGGTCATCTGAAGAATAGTTGAAGAAGAAAGCCCCAATCCTTTTACTGGAACAACACGATATTTTGCAGTTTTGCCCTTACCTTTTAAGTGGTGGCTGATCTGTGTGAATCAATATCTGCAAGTCATTCGATTTTTTTTTCCCTGCCTAATAAAGAATTAAGATGCAAATGGTTTAGATATTAATTTTCAGTGGGACTTGATCAATTGCCCATGATGCATTGGAGTTTGAGATTGACTCCTGATTGGTAACCATAATATAACCTAGCTGAACCTGTATTATATTTGTTTTAATTTTAGCTCAAGATACAACTATTTTCAAACAAGATATTTGTTACATCAGGTTCATTCTTCGTCGTAACAACTGAAAGAGTTTGAATTGGGTTGGGTTTGGATGAGTTAAATTCGTCTTATCTATAAACTGATACCCCTGCATTTCACATGTTGGTAATGTGGATTGGATACCGGGAATCCCATCCAATGTGAAACAACTTGGAATTAGCCAAAACCTCTATCCCGCGAGTACAATTTAGCAATCCTCAATATTTCCTCAAGTTTTTCCCATAAGAAGAAAAATTACAACAAAGAAACTAGTAAATATTAGATTGAAATTTCAAGATAATAGTTCTTGGGGCATGCTTCAAGAAAATGCCCATGTCGCATGGCCAAGTCGGTTTCGGATTCTCTTGACTTTGTGGACATTCCATTGTTCTTGATTAGAGCGGATTGGAAATTCATATGTGATATGTAACTTGTTTCTCTCTTCCGTTAATTGGAGGATAATTTTATTTCATGTTATGAACAAAATTCTTTGTTGTTGATCAGGGAAAAAAATAATAACCAGCTCCACTTGTACAGAGTCCACTAAGCTTTCTGTTTTCATGAGAAATGGCAATATGATGAATATCTCAATATCAATGAATCACATTAGAGTTCATTAAGTCT